CATGATCATTGGAGAATATTCATTTTGATGGTGGTGAAACAATTCAGAGACCTTATTATTTAAACATCTTATTTATTCCACACACACACACACACACACACACATGACAAACTGGAATTCATATTCGAGCATGAGTGAATATGATATAATTTGTTATAAACAGCACATTAAAACTCTTCAAAAGGACTGTACTTCCACGCAAAGAGCAATGACTTTTTATAATGACAGTATTATTCCACTAGGGGGCGTGTCTTACATTATAAATGCTAAAGCAACCGAACACTCAGTGGAAGGAAGCCATTAAAGCTGAATTACTTCCTGACAAACTGAGAATTGACCTCTAGCTATTGAAAACCAACTTTCAAGCGCTGAGTGATGTTGATAAGATAATATCTGACTCTTATGTTTCTCAATTTATCTTTTAGGGGAGAATTCTCTCGAAATAACTTATAAAATATGCATATGTTGCTAGTAAGAGTCATTTATGTAGGCAGCTGTGGGCTTTACCACTGCAAAAGGAAAATATTGCTACTACTATACAGAGCACCATAAAATATACTGAACATACTTTAACATAAACCATCAATCATTGTCAGTGTAATGCATACAGATGCTGATGATGACCAGCACATGGTGCAGACATGGAAATATACAAATGTTTTTATTACTCTGCCACTGAATAGAATAACCACATTCTGAGTTCTAAAGTTGCTGTTTACATATACATCTGGAATCTGGTTCACTGTTTTATATATGAATACATTAGATTGTTTCATAATTACCTCACGCTTTGTACTGTATATTTTACAGTTTGTGAAGTGTTTGATTACATCTGTAGGACTAGTTATTTCAACATGACTAAACCAGATGGCCACCTTTAAAAGGTTTGGGGTCTGTAAGATTTTTAAATATTTTTCAAAGAAGACTCTTATGCTCGCCAAGGCTGCATTAATTTGTTAAAACAATATTATGACTTTTTTCCGATTAGGCTGCATTTATTAAAAGAAAATAGGACTTTTTTCCATTTGTAATTTATTTTATAAATGTATTTTTAAATATGTTTTTGAATATAAAATTATATAAAATCTAATCTGTAACCCTGTATAATTATTGTAATGTTGTACTTCTTTTACCTATCAGCCTTCCAAAAAAGCAATAAAAACTTCAATTCAATAAAAAAAAAAATAT